AATTTTTTATTAATTAAAATTTGCCCCCGACCCTATTCCGATCGATTGACTAAGGCACTTGAGAACACCCTAAATTTGTTATTCTTAATAGCATGCTATTTGCATATATATTGTTTTTTGCTTATTGTTTTTATGCAAAGAGATTCCCTTCGCTTATTGAGATCGATAATTTAGGGAATTTATTTCCGATGTGCTACTCGTTCTCTAGATGGAATATTGAGTTTTCAAATTACCTGCACCGTACGTATTCAAGCCATCTATTCTCATTTTAGAAAATCCTGCAATTTACATAACCGCAAAAAAATATCGGGCGACTAACATATGCATTATGCAGCAAATTTTCATACTACATAATTCTGCATAATGTGATGCAAGCTACCTAAAATTTAAAAATGCACACAGAAGTTATTACGTAATTTTAACCTATGCCATTTCATCAACAATCACTTTATAGACACTTGTTCCTATCAAAATCGATAGCCTGTGAAATCCAATAAAGAATTAATCTACCAGGTCTGTTTCCACTTTATAATCTAATAGTTTATGTTTTCGAATCCGATAACCTCTCAGTAATAAATCACTGCATATAGGTTTTGAGAGATTCACAGTATATTATACAGAATTACATAATGCATCATGCGACATTATGTTGCATTGTGTGATGCAACGTCAAAAAAAACTAGCATTCGCACTTCTCTATAATCTGTTGTGACGGGGACCGAAAAATTTTTCGAAATCAATTTTTTAAACCAATCAAATTTTTTAATCATCAAAATTTGGCCAAGTTTTAAAATTTGAAATTTTTGCTACAAAAAATTGATTTCGAAAAATTTCTGTGTCTCTGGATTGCGATGTTTTTTTTTGCCATTTTTAAAATTTGAAGTTGTTGCTGACAATATGATTTACCCGTTATGAAAAAAATTTAATAAACGATAAACGAGATTTATTGGCTAACATGTTAAATTTACTTTTACATATATCAAATGTAGCTCGAACAACTAGTAACAGAAATAGTAGTAGATAGTAAAAGATTTCGGATTGTTTTGGAAATATTAACGTTCTTTCGAAGCTATATACAATGAAAAATTACATTTTTATAATGAAAATAGAAATTAATAAGAAATAGAATCAATCAGCATTCAGGCGAAAAATCCAATTTCTCATGAGTTTGCGTAACTAATAATTTTTTTTAAAAAATACGCAAATCCAAATCTTACAAAAATATGCATATTTATGTATCTTTGGCGTATTATTTCAGAGCATAATCGATCTCTACAACTTACATAAGTACGTGTGGTCAAGAAATCTAACGACCACAATTATATAAATCCTGAATCATTTACGAATTTGGGTCAAAATCCCGAAAACGGATACAAGAACGAACGTAATACCGACAAAGTTAGCCGGCACTACCCATAATGCTGGCCAATTTAGTCGGTGTTATAATCTGTTGTTCGGAATTTTGACCCAAAATCATCATTTACATCAATAAAATGTGAGAGAGAATACTTTTATTGACATAGATAAATTAAGGAATATGAATTTTAATGTGCTACTTGATTATCTGCTCGGCATAACTTTAACCTATAAAAATTTATGGAATACAGTTAGAGAAGTGATGTCATAATGCTGCATAATGCGATGCAAGTTGATTAAATTTAGAATGATCTACTATATATCATTTCACTAGCATTCACTTCATACAATTTATTTCACTAGTTTACAGAAATTTCCGCTATACAAAATTAATAATTCATGATTTCAAATCCTATCTGTTTTGAGAGGATTAGAGCATCTATACTAAATTGAATATCATGCGACATAATGTTAGATTATGTGATGCAGACCAAAAAATCTTGCATTCGCATATCTCTAAATACAATATTTAATTTCACTGTTTATATCTTGTCTCTATAAGGTGTAATTGTGGTTATTATGTGTATTTCTTGCGCCGTATATGTGTACATCAATATGTGGGCTTTCTAATTTTGTTTATAAAAAGATTAGAGAACCGAAAAAAAAAAGATTCATTAGTGCGTAGTATCATCTTAAATTTGAACAATCCTTTAATAATTCTTGAGATTATAACCTCCGAAATGACCGAAGAGAACAAGGAACAAATAAAAATAGACAAGGCGGAGCTGCAAGAGAATAAATACATAATTATAAACTTGAAAGGAGAATGGGAAAAGACCGAAGAGAAAGAGATGCAAATAGAAATAGACAAGGAGAAGCTACAAGAAAATAGATTTATAATTATGAACTTGAAAGAAACAGAAAAAGACAAGAAGGATACTCTACAAGAACTACAAAATAATAAATTCTTAATTATGGTCGTGAAAGAGGAATGGGAAAAAACCGAAGAACGGTTAAAAAAAAGAAAGAATTTAATGCTAGTAAACATCATAATAGCGTCATTTGTTATATTTTTTTGGATCAATATTACTGTATGTTTTGTGGATTGACATTGCCAGCACTATATTCCGTTTAGTGACATCAAGTATTCTTGCTAGTGGTGGAGCTTTAGCGCTTTTAAAGATTGTTTGTGAAAATATAAAATCGCAAAAGGAAACTATTAATTCTTATACGAATACTGTTATCTCATTGGCTAAAAATATAAATGCTGATAAAGCATTAAAACCCTCATTGATACCCGTACCGTACCTGATGAACTCATATTAAAAAATGGTGAATTGATTGAAGAGTGCAAAAAATTTATTAAATTTTTTGAGCGTATCAATAAACTTATCAACGAAGAAGAGAAAAATAATGCAGCCTTTATTATTTTAGTGTCTTTATATGTTATCATTACATCTACAATCTCAATTATGATTAATACTAAAATTATTCCACATTTGAGTGTTTATGAAGATAGAATATTAGCTATAAGTATTATTGTGATTGGTCTGTTATGGTTGAAGAATATGGTGTTATTTTTCTTTAACCAGACGATTGAGAGGATTTTGAACTTTCATATAGTCAAACAGGATAATTTTCGTGGCAAATTTTGTAATTGGTTGAAGATTGCGCTTTGTAATTCTGTTTTAGGGATTATAATTACTTTGTTATTTTATTATTGTCTTGCGAAGAGATTGTACTTAATTAATATATATGATGAAGATATGAAAAAATGAAAAAATTGAAAAAAAAGATATGGACGGGGCTGAAGATTTTAATGAACATGATGAAGATATGAAAAAATTGAAAAAAAAAGATATGGACGGGACTGAAGATTTTAATGAACATGAGATAAAAGATATGGATGGGAAAGAAAATAAAGACGGAACTGAAGATTCTAATGAACATGAGATAAAAAATAAAGACGGAAATAATGAGGAAGAAATATGTGAAGATTTAAATAAATATGATTGGGTAAAATTTTTTATAGATAAAAAAAATTATCGGAGAAAATACAAAGCGAGAATTTTTGGATATAATGAAGACAGAAAAGGTATTAGCATCGAATCTGGGTGGAAATTAGCAGTGGAATGTTTTACCGATAAAGGACAAATGTCAAAAGATCATCAAATTATGGTCTGTTTGTTCTTTATTTTTTTATACCTTTTACATACAATCATTATTGTTTTTATTTATACAAGTATTAGCCTGTTTTTAAAAAATGATAACGAAAATGATAACGAAAAGCCATCTCCTGATAACCAAAAGCCATCTCCTGATAACCAAAAGCCATCTCCTGATAACCAAGATCTACCTCCTGAGAAAGGAAAAGTTGATAATATTATTGAAAAACATGTAATAGCTTTTGCTATGGTATCTTTGCGGATAAGAACTAAATATATATTCAAAATTGAATCTATAGAAATAACCGAAACGCAAAGAAAGAATCTTAGAAAGATTATGTGTCTAGCGAAGTGTGATAATTTTTAGCATATTATATATTCTATAAATCTTCTTTTTTTATATTTGTTATAACAATGCTTATGGTGTAAATTTAGAACAATATATTTTATCCAGTTTTTGAAATTTTTAAATATTTTCAGTAAATTTTAATAAAAATCATTTAAATTTTACCTATCTTTTTTTTAAATTACTGAGAGGTTTCAGAATTAAAAAAAAAAACAGTGTATTTCGATAAGTAAGGGACACCATTTCGTGAAATCGGTAAATTTTTCAATGACAACGATCATCAATTCAAACTTATCGGAATAAATAAAATAATTTGGTAATATCACTTGAAAATATTTCTATCAGATTTCTGCATTTTAATTCTAAACTCTTCCTAGTAAAATAGTTGTATAATTTCGCTAGCAAATAATGAAATTAAAAAAAAGACATCATACATTAATTACCTCGCACACAACAGTGATGCCTGACAAAACTACTTTCGCAATGACGAAATGGTTCGTCAATGGCTTCGTCTGAACGAAACTATTGACGATCGACGAAACTGCCGACGATTGACGAAATTAATTTGACTAATAAAATATAAGAATAGAGTCAATCTTCTTTTGTTGAGCTTCTTTATAATGACCTCTGGATATTCTGAATCTTAAATTTTTTCAAATTATTTTTATCATAATATTATATGAAAACATGATACCGTATACTGTACTTCTGAAATTAAACACCACTTTTTTTGCACGTAATGTAGGCCAAAATTGGCATAATGCGGTCCTGAGGTCTTAATTCCGGAAGTACCGTGTTTGTGCATAATAGCGTGCCGGGGCAATCTTTTGAGCCACGGCCCGAATTAAGCTTAATTAAGCTTAATTAGGCCGAAATTTGAAATTACACCCTGCGCGTACAGTAATTTTTAATTGGCAATAGACTTACTATTCGGATGTTCTTTCATCATATGTCATATTGATAACAAAGTCCAAGATTACATTGTCCACCAGAATTACCACCTTCAGAAGATTTAAAATGCTATTCAGATGCTTTTACCAGGAACGGAGTGATATTGAAAATTTCACGAAGTGTATGATTATAATGCAAATTAAATGGCGTACGTACGTACGTACGCGAAATCTTGCCGCTTATTGGACGTATGCATATGGCGAAGCAAAGGTGTGAATGCATATCAGGGCTTCACGCGTTGCACCTTCACAGGGCATGTGTAGCATTTTCTTCTATAACCGGACACTTGCACATGAATGTAATACTTTGCTGTATGTGTAGTTAATTAAATCCAAAAACCTCTCAACAGAATTATTAAAAGCAGAAAATAAATGCGACTATAAGTGCAATTACAAATAACATAACAAACGATAGTCAAACCATTGCTTTTAGTCATTCACTTGAATTTTTTAGCATTTTTCATTTTTCTTCGTAGGATTTTTTACCGGGTTGATGAAATGATAATCGTTGATTATTAAAGATGAGCGAAAGAATTTGTTAATCATTTCTAAATATATAGCATCAGTTGATTACTGGCTCATTTGTGCTGATAATTTAAAAGATCTATTGCTGATTAGAAAATGTTTAACGCAAATAGAGTCATATAAGCTTAGGACGAATCTATCTTAAAGAAAGGAAGCTATTTTGTAAAAAATAAAATCGTATATAAAAAGCGTTGTTTGGTAATGTAAATCTGTAAAGTCAAGATTAAAAATCTTGTTTTTTTTCAGGAATTAAATCTGCTATGTAGATCATATTGGTGTGAAAATAATCATTTTAAACTATATATATGTTCTATATTCCTTTTTTTGGATATCAAAGATAACATATGGTATACCAGTAAATGGGAGAGGGATGGGATGGTTTTTGATTGTGACCTATGCTGATTTTGAAAAATCCTTTTTTTGTAGGAGTTAATACTTTTACAGATTACATACGTACAGTACATGCGTACAGATGAGATGACTGTGAAAATAATAATCATGAGAAAAATTAAAATGTGAATCTGAAAATTTAGCCCGAATTGAGTTGACTATTAATGATTCTGGTCAATTTTTTGACTTTGTTGACCTAAACCTGGCATACTAGTATCTCGTATGATTGTCAAATTTGCTATCATCGACTATCGACTAGTAGCCGACTATAGCCGATAAATTACTCGATCAATTTCTTAATCAAATTTTCAATCAAACATATAAGCAAGATGTTATACAGTTATACATATTTAGAGTGGGTACCCTAGACATGTCGAAAAAAAATTCGGGTCACATGCTATAAACAGCCAATCAAAATGATCTAAATATTGAAGATCCCGATCTACATTTTCAAAGCAATCTAATCCTGGTCAAACTTACAGATTGTTCGGCCTATTGGGGATGAGTTTAAAACTCATCCCCAATTGGCCAACGATCTGCAAGTTTGACCAGGATTAGATTGTTTTGAAACTTTCAAGATTATAGCGAAGACTTCTCTATAACTGATTGATTAAACTCAGCAAAATTTTATTAAAATTCAAATTTTACAAAACAATTCTTTTTTTTTTTTTTTAACAACCATTGATTTAAAAAATTATTGAAATTGGATACATTTTTGCAAACTGTGATTATTTATTATTAAAATTCTGTATTGCAAATCATCAACAAAAAAATACCCGATTGTTAGATAAAGCATGCTTATTTGAGCGAATATATTACAGTAACTACTTATCAAAAATCAATAAATTTTTTTTATTTTGATTTTATTAATCCTTAGAATTAATATAAAAAAATTTGGGTTAGGGTCCCATAACCTAGTGGTCTAGGTGCCTAATCCTCCACAGACGAGGTCAACGATTCGATTACAGCTGGTGGTAATTAATTTAATTAATTATCTCTGTAACCTACAGGAGCTTTCGAATACAAAACCCTGTGACGATAAGACCATGTGAAGTACTTATTTGGCCTATAACGAATTCTTGGAAGGAGTCCCGAGCCGTAGAGAAGACTGGGCACTACGTGTGACATGGCATCACAGAAAGTAATACCGCATAAGGCTGTGCATGTAAAT